ATTATCATTGGTAATATATTCTAAAGCAGCAGCCGAGTGGCTCTATCAGTTGGGGAATTCCACCGCAAGGGAACACTTTTTGATAGAACGCTTCTTTTGATAACTTTTAACATTATTTTTTTCAAAGCAGTGTCGTCACAAGGTCCTTTTAATATCCGTGACAAAAAAGCCAACGTACACCTCCCTCAAATGTTCTGAGCTTTTTAAGAAGCTAATGTTGTGGTCCTGACCTTTCTGCGCCCACTTGATGATGAAATACCCAAAGGCGGCTGCCTCTTCTGCCTACCCCTTGGCCCAGCCCAGATCCAATGCAGCTACAGTGGTCAGTAAGAGCTCGGTTTTTTTCTGCTTGTTAAAGCTGAATTCCAGGGATACATCCATTGGTCCAGCCTTTCCCAATGTAGGTATACATATTTTATACCTGGCAAGGCCACAGGGATCCTGTAAAACACTGCAGTAGCTTTGTCCTTTTGCAGTACTTTACAGTGATCTTGCGGGTCCTGCACTTCCACTGTGCGAATTTCAGTCGGTTCTTGAGGAACCGGCCAAAATCCGCAATCTGTGCCAATGTCGGCACCCTTTCAGTTGGCATCCCTTGATCAGCTGATGGAAGGAGCTGGCTGGAAATTTTTTTTTTTTGCAAAATATTTTATTACTTTTCACAGTTTTAAACATGACAATGCATGCCACTTGTTCCCAACAATACGGGAACCAGGCGTAGCTATGCACCCAAAAACAATACACCCACACTTAGTCAAAAATAATAAAATAACCTGGAATAAAATCCCTGCGTGGTTAACCCGGGGGGAAAAACCCGCTGAGTACAGGCGGGGTGGGGACACTCCCCAACATAGCTCTTCAACTGTGCTTGACACCATATAGGTATGACATTTCAGGATTGCAACGCTAGAACATTTTAACAAGGAGGTAATGCCACTACGTTGAACTCAGGTCTCCTCTGGTTCGACACCGTCACATGAGTGCACCCATATTTAGGCTTCTCCCTAGGGGTCACACTACCCCCCACCCCAGCTCAGACATCTGAGTCCACCGCTGAGTCACCGCATTCTAACCAGCGATCCCAGACTTTGTTGAACTTGGCAGGGCATCCTCTATGAGCATACGTATCCTGATACAGAGGTAGGTTGTCATTGACCAGCTTCTTCCAGAAAGCTAGCGCTGGGGGCTCGGGTTTCTTCCAACACATGGCAATTGCTTTATGGGCGTAGAATAACATGAGGCCCACCATCGTGCGTTCAGACCTGGTCGGAGCTAAATCCTCCACCAGGCCCAGAAGGCACATTCGCGGTGACGGGGTGAGATGTAGAGAAGTGACTTTACCCATATACTCGACCACTAAGTGCCAGTAGGAAGTGATGAGGGAGCACCCCCAGAAGACATGAAAGAAATTACCCTCGGGGCACGTGCATCTCCAACAACCTGGCGAAATAGAGGCATTCATCTTATGCAGGCGGTGAGGTGTGAAATATGCTCTATGGAGTATCTTAAACTGAACCATTTTATCCCGTATCGCAACCAATTGTTTAAAGGGAGCATCCCAAATTTCCTCCCAATCC